GTTTAGATGCATCAAGACTTGAGTTTTTCAGAATGAAATCATACTTGTAGCGCAGTGGGGGAAGTCGAAGGTCAACGTCTCCTTCAGGACACGGCAAAATAGTGATGATTCTGGTGGTAAGGGAAGCTGGAGAATGTCTAAAATCTTTGTGCTTTCCTTAGAGCTTAAGATAAGAGTTTAAGATACTCTGTGAATTGACAGCTTTTTTGATTGTTGCATATATATTAGTATGAAGTAATAAAATAATTTGAATATGTTCCTCTTGGAGATTATTTTTTGAGAGAAACAAAGTCCTGAAATAACTGTCCTGGTTCACCTTCTCTTGCAGAGAAAAAAATTGTGATTTGTTCTTTTTTGTTTACTGTTTTGTAACAGAACAGTCTTCTACGTCCTATATGTGCCACTGAGTTTTGAGTCACAAATTAAATGCTTCGTACCTAAATCCTGAAGCAATAGTTGCAAAATGTGATGAACAAATGAAAAGCAAAGACCAGTAAAATAGCAGGTCAGCAACAGAAATGGAGAATCTTTTCAGCAGCTCTAACTTCTCTTAGTGAAGTTCTGCAAGTGTGGTGTTTTCTGTTCTGTGTGGAGAAATGACCCACCAAGCCCCTGCTGTGGGAGGGAAGCTTTCTTGTAACCGAAATAGGCAGCTACTACCGAAATAGGCACTGCTACAGCATTTCCTGGGTGTGTATAAGGAAGCCGAGGCCACAATGGGACTGGGAGGCACAAATGTTTATTCATGGACATATGGTAATGCTATCTGAAGGCTATAGCAGGTGCCAGTTCTGTTTGCAGCACAGAGTGTTTAGGCCATTATTCTTCTCAGTCGGGCTGAGTTTGCAAAAGTGTATCTCACTGCTCATTTAGCAGATGATTATAAAAGTTGTGGTTTTGTCTCTCTCCCAAGACTGCTAGAAGGTGAGTGCTGTACTCAATCCGTTCTTTGTAAGGAAGATTTTTACTGAAATGGGTTCTTGGTTTTAAGATTACATTGCATGGACCTCCAAGAGTTTTCTTGGGCAATCATGCGTTGTGCTGAATCAGGGGTAAAGGAAATGACTTGTTTCAGTTCTTGCAGCCAGGATAGGCACAAATGAGGATGACATGCCTATTGGTTGCAGTCATGGGAGTCCCTGTGCCTGTGACTTCTGGTTTTTTTAGGGTTTTCTCATGAAAATACTTCACAGCAAATGAGGAACTGTGTTAGTCTTCCATCCTTTCCTTGGAGTTGGGGAAATTCATTGGCAAGAGTCTCAGTCTACCCTCAAATTCCTTCCAGAGTATTCTTTGGGGTTATTCACCGAGCGGCGTCCTACGAGCCCCTGGAGCACATCATGTGTGCTCAATTCCTAGATGACGTCCCTATCAGCCTGTAAACCTTTGTCACTCGTTCTCATCCTGTCGAGAAGTTTCAAATACTTGGGATTCCCAAGAGGCAGCTTTCAGCCCCGGCAACCTGTAAAGCCTTCGCATACAGCAGTTAGTGGACTCCTTTGTTGTGGGAATCCTCCACACAGCCACCTGACTGCTGAGGTTGCCCCACGCAGAGGACTGCTGCAGTCTCAGACTGGGCTAGGACTGGGATGAGTGGGAGACAGTGAACTAGAGCTGTCAGCCCACCAAGCGCAGAGCTGGTTGCCCTTCACAGCAGTTTTCCAAATGAAGTGTCCCTCAGTAGCACAATCTCTATGTGTCCTCCAGCTTTCCCTGGCTATCTGTAGGTTAATGAAATGGTTCACTGAGGTCTGCTCCGGACTGCTGTGTTCCCACAAGCAGCACCTAGGGGAACATTACGTTACAGACTACATTCTGCAGAGAGCCTTACTTTCAAATCTATTTCTTTCTGCAATGCCCCCCTAAATGTGGTGCACCACAGGAAGCCACATATGAGCTGAAGTTTGGGAACTGTTGAGGTGGAAGCTCGCAGGTAATGGCCTACAGCATGGCCTGAGTGTGAAAGCAAAAGTTTTGTTGGCAGATCGCAAAGGAATTCTTGCTCAGATTTGTGTCATGTACAGTCATATACACCTAACCATGTACTTTTAAGCTGTTCAGAATAGTTGCCATGCAACTACAGTACAAGTCTGAAAACAAAGAACCTAGAGTGTCAGAAATCTAGTTAGAAATACCATAGTGGGTGTCAGTAATTTAAATATGTGAGGGCCTTCTGCTCCTCTGTATATTTTGATCAGATGACTGTGCATCATTTAGAGGATTCTGTGTCGGTATACTTTTAACACATAACAATTGGCATCTGGTCTTAGCAATGGAATTTTTCATTATTTTGGTGAAATTAATAATTTACTTAAATGCTGTTCTTTAAACGGTAAAGATAATACAGGATCAATTTATATAATTGTAGTAGTAAGATAATAAAAATCAATTCATTCAGTAGCGCCTGTTGAAGATTATAGTTTAGCTTCAGTATCAAAGCCAAGATTTAAGTTCTGCCATCTAGTGGTTAAATGGGGTCTGGCGGGGGCGCTGTGTCTTAACGCTGCCGATGTATCAGGGTATTGACTGAAAGTCTAGGTTCTGATTTTGCTTTTGAGTACAAGTTTGCACATGTGGACTGTCAAAGAACCATCGGTGCCCTTGCAAAATAAAAGCATTTGTTTAATTCTTCCACCTGAGCTGAAGAAAAGAGAGGTGAGAGGGGGATTATGTACCCCAAATCAAAGTGTAAACTGAGATAGAGGCAAGTAAAATCTCTGTCACCTGACTGTCAGCACTGCCTTCAATACCAGGCTCTGCGCATTACTTTTTCTGAGTTTCTTCAGAAGTGGAGAATCTCTGATTCAAGATTCTAGCCACTGTAGTCAGCGTCAGACAGAAAACCTGCGTGCACTGCAGAAATGGAAGGTCAGCTCCTGTCTCTGATGCCAGGACTTGCAAGAAATGCAGGATCCTTTGCTGGGTGCCAGTGTGTTTCCTTGCATAGCTGGAATAGTTGAAAAGACTTTAACCTGGGCTAGACTCTGGGCATGCTCACTCTAAAATGACCTGCCTTTGAAGTACTTTAAGCTTCCGGTTGGTAAGCAGTGTCCAATACCCACATACCCACTGAGGCTGCACCTGTGTTGTTGATAGTTTGTACTGCGGTTGCACTGAAGCTGCCTTACTGAGCTCAGGATTCTGACAGGAGATGTTTTTATTGACCTTATACAACTGAAAGGGGATGAAGGAGGAGTAAAGGAATATGGAAAGCTGGTAGAGGAAACACAGTTTGGACCCCAGGCTCCTAAGCCATACATCATGGACCCAGCTTGAACTATCTGCTTTCACTTTGCAACTGTGACAGGCTGGGAACTGCAAACTTGAGAGGCAGCAGGTTCCTGTCATGCTCGTTGCCATGTATTCAGTGATTAATAAATGAACAGCCCTGAGTATTCACTGCAATGCTATATTTCTATTCCATGTACTGCATAGGGTAAGGTAAGGATTTGAAGTTGTCTTGACCGCCAGAACTTGGTTTACTCACTAAACCTTAAATAGCCAACCCAGCTAATATACTCCTGTTCTATCCAAGTGATGCTATGTGTTTTAGAGATAGATAATTAAATGTATTGGAACTTCCAGATCATTCCAGATATGTAAATAAGACTCGTCTATCCTCTTGCCATAGAAAGAAAGAAAGAAAGAAAGAAAGAAAGAAAGAAAGAAAGAGAAAGAAATAGAAAGAGAAGAAAGAGAAAGAAAGAAAAGAAAAAGAATGAAAGAAAAAGAAAAGGAAAAGAAAGGAAGGAAGGAAGAAGGAAGGAAGAAGGAGAGGAAGACAGAAAGAAAGAAAAAGAAAAAGAAAGAAAGCCAGCCATATATTAAGAAGAAGAAAAGATCCTGCTTGTTCTTGAGGTAGCCTTCCTATTTCACCAGCAAATTGGTTAGCAGTGTTGCTGTTTTAAGTTGTCCTATTCTGCAAGCTAGCACTTTAGTAAATGGCACTCTCTTGACCCTAGTTCTCCCTAGCCTCATTGGTTTGCCTGTAATGGAAAGCTACTCAAACTAGACTGAAGCATGTACTCTTGTAAATGTTGATGTTCGTGTTTATTTTGAGCTACGAGGTCAAGCATGCATCTAAGTGTTTACAGGATGGATTCTTCATTATGAGTTTAGTCCTAGGCATCCTGTGCTCTGCTAATTAAAGTTCAGCACTTTGAGTAAGTCCTGTAAAGAGGAGCTTTACACTAGCTGTTTGACTCTAGGGATTTATATATGTACAGAGGGAACGATGTATGTCATGTTACTCTTATCTCCTTCCCATCAAAACAGATCTTTGCAGAAATATTGTTTGAAAAACGTTCCTGAAATGCCTTGCACTTGTTTAAAAAGTAGCAATAACTTCTGCCATAACAGTTTAAACCAAAAGGAATATTATTCTATGCAAGGACGTGTTAGCTTGCATGGGTGGAAAACAACTAATTTTTACTGATGAGTAAGTGGAATTATAGCTTATTGGAACCCTATCTCTGGAAATCAGTCCTGGTAACATGGAAAACTATATAACTTAGTTAATGTTATGTTTAAAATACATAGCCCTTAGACTTCCCTGGGGTCTCCCTGTTGTTTCTAAGAAGCAAGTAGCTTGTAATCTTTTCCCCTAGATCAACAATTCAGGAATTATTCCGCTTAAATAACAGGAAGATGTCTTATAAGAATAATAAGAACAAAAAATAATATTGTCTTTGTTCTAATTTACCTTTTTGCTGCAATGTTGGAACAACTTGGGGTTCAAAATTCTGGACTTCGTGATGACGTGTACATAAAAGCAAATTCTTCGTTACGACTGATTAACCAAATCATAACTACAACTAATTTAGTAGTGAACTGCCTGCAAGAGCTGAATTACTGTTCAGATTTAGCCTAAGTGATGTGCTATTTCCACAAGTGCATTAAAAAATACCGGCTTCCAAATTCCTGTGCCTTTGTCTATTAGAAACAATGTTTTTCAAACATCAGCTACTCCCAAAGTTAGGGAATTTTTTAACCAGCAAAGTCTCCAGTCTTAAACACTGTATTAATCCGAGTTGGGGAGGGGCTGGACATCTTATTGATTATTTTACCTTGCAAGTCTAGATAAAGGAAACAAAAATTATTCTGCTTGCCAGTTCAGTCCTTGTGAGATCCTTGAATCATTTTGTGGGTTAAGGACCTGGAACAAGTTGCCATTGTTACACTGAATTAAGTGTAACTGAGATAATTGTTATGAGCAGAAGATTGATGGCTTAACCTCAAATTTCAGAATAATTTCTGCTTTGCAGAGAAGCGGTAATATAAAATATAAATTCACTGGATGAATTAAATAGCATGGATATAATGAACCGAATCAACTGGGATGGAAGTTTTAAGGCTGTCACTAGTGGATCTCACCTAAGACCAGTCTGAAGCTATTATACAGGGCACAAGGCCAGTTTTCAGAAAAAAGAAATGGTTGTTGGAAGTCAAACAAAGGTAATTTTGAAATCAATTGCACTGAGATTGTTTAGAAAATAAACATCACTTAAAGATCCTGCAAATGAAGATTGTGAGAACAAGTCACAAAGAATGTTTGAGAATAAAAGGAGTCTAGAAAAAAGAAGAAAACTGGGGCAGAAAGAAAATGTACTGGAATCGATTACAAACACTGTAAATAGAATGAGTAAGAAACCACTCACATGAAAGTAATTGCATTATCATAAAAATGTGGAAACACTTCAGGATAGATTCTGCCAGTGTTATGTGAATATACTAGCCATAAATGCTAGAAAAGCTTCAGAGTAATTCACTGAGCAAACACTTTTTAAGCTGGCAAATAACTTGAAGCCTCCAGTTAGACTTGATCAGATCCACATTGCTGTAGCTGCACCGATAGAACATGCTTCTTGAAAAGAGGTCTGTATTTTATACTGTCTGTCCATACACGTATGTTTGCTCAAAGAGCATTACAGATGCAGAGAAAAGTATCAGAAATTCCTCTGCACCTTAATGGTCACCTATGTATGTCCATAACGTTTCACTCTTCTTTATGGCTGAACAAGACCAATTGAATGGGTTTTATTAATTACGTTTCAATAGAAAGTTGGCTATTGACTATTTTTTCCCCAAAGATTTGTTCTAGTACTTTGCTTTTTGATTTCTCGGTTTTCCTGCAGAAAGTTAACATTCTGAATAAAACCTGCAGTTACAATTCAGGAAACTTCTGTTAAGATTCTTCCAAGGCTTTCTGAGCAGACCAGGTCAATCATGATGTGGCACAGACAGCAAGGATTTTTTTTCTGACATATTTTCCTCCTTCTGAAGGTAGAGAATAGTGCAGCAGGAAGGATATGCTCTGACCCTTAGCAGGCGAGGGAGCACAGAACGAATTACATCTCACCAGGCACTGCAATACTATTTTGAATTAAATAACGGCCTTTTTTGCCACTAATGTTTCTTGTTATCCTCTGTCTTAACACGACGTTTAGGTGCCTTCTCAGCAAGTGATCCTCTGCTAATGCTCTGTGTGCAAATAGTATCTCCATCGTTGAGCTCTCTTTCAGTCAACAGACACTCTCATTCACCTCAGATCTTAATCCAAAGCTGGGGTTGCACAAAAGCAATCTACCCAATGGGACTTCCTATGAAATGTTAACTTAAATGTTTCCAGGCTCCGGACGCTTTATTTCCATCAGCGAAATCCCATTCACCTTGTTTTTTAATGCAATATCTTAGCTGAGCAAAACCACTGAAAACCCAATGAATATATTTGCTAAACAGTAATAACGTGCTTGGATCACCTTCCCTATTCAGACGCCTCCAGCAGAGCCAGATTTAGTTTTATGGTGCTTTCAACATATATCAGTGCTAAGCTTCTTTTGAAATGTCCACCTCTTTCTTACTAGCACTTAATATTGGTCTAATGCAGCTCCCATTATAATTCTGCCTTTTAGGGGAGGTTGTAAGTGTATTTGTAAGAGAATAATGACTCAAAATGGCTATTCCATACTAGAATCCCATCTGGATAATCTTATTCCACACAAAAAATTGCACTGGCAGTACTTAGTCCATTTGCAAAGAAACCTTAGCTAAGCTACAGAATCTTAGTTCTGGAATAAGTTTTCACATGAAAGTTAATGGAAGAATATCTGCTACACTTTAAAATCACATCTTGTTATTTCACATTAGCTTTCTCTTCTGGCTGCCCCCCTAGGCAAATGGTGAACTGCCTGAAAATCCCAGCCAGGAGTCATCTATCTTCTCAATAGATGTTAAACACAGTGGAAGGAGATACTGAAGACTTTTGATTCATATGGAATTAATTTAGGATTAAATTGCCACACCTTAGTGACTCTTCAGTGTTTCTTTGATCTTTAAAACACTTGTTAGTGAACAATTGCAACAGTGCATTCAAATATTTGCTGGTAATTTGAACCCCCTAAATTTTCAGAAATAAGTGTAAGTGATTTTATATTTCCAAGTGTTCTGAGCAGGCATCTGGAAGGAAAAAAGCCTTCCCAGAAAACGTAATATGTTATTTTATTTTAAAAAGAAGACAGTTGTTCTATTTGTTTGATGAAGAATGGAGTGTAGCTTAAGTGCTTTGGAACGTGATCATGAAAAAAGGTTAGAGAAACCAGTATGTAATTTCAAAGTGAAACATTTTAGTCTTGTGTATAGGTTATACCTCTCTTTGTAGATATTCTTTACTTTGACTAAAGTAACTCAGCATACAGAGCAATATTCTGTCAGCCTTACTGGTGTTATTAGGGTTTGACTCCCAGCAAATCCTAGGTGGCTGCAGTGGTGGCGGCGTCCGGGGAATGAAATAATTTGAGTTTGAGTCCTACTTACAGAAGTATTCAAACTGAATTGAATTCATTATCAGCTGAGCACTGCTCGTAGATGGGGAAGAGGCTGATATGAGAAGCTAGGAGTCCATTGAAGTCAGAGGTCATGCCAGGAGCAGCCTCTTGGGCCAAGGCAGTAGTTCCCGGGAAATTCCTGGGCTGAAGGGAGACGGCCCTGCTTTGGTGGTCTCAGAGGGAAAGCCAGGCTCGATTCCAGTGCTCAGACCTTCCTGATGCTGGGGGGAAGGTCTGTAGTGGGGAATCATGAGGTTTAGGGGGGTTGTCCCTCATAAATGTCTTTGTGCTGAAGCTTGCTGGTGGTTCTCTGGGTTGGGGCTGTGAGGCCACGCTTGCCCCAAAGCTGGCCACTGCCCCAGCTCGGGTGCTGCTGGTAGCGTGTGGCTGACTTGGGTTGTCAGTTCCCGCTTCGACTTTTGCCTCTTGGCTTTTCCTCTGCTCTTGCATTTCTACTTCTCACCTAACACCCTTCCCAGGTCTCCTCGGAAAGCAGTGCTGGGAGGAGATGGACACCCCCTGCAGCAACCTAAGCCGCAAAGCTGACTGTAGGCTTTGGAGGGAGCTGCCTTTGCTATTTTGCTTCCCTGTACAAAAAGCATCCCACTTCTGAGTGCCAGGTCAGTCACTGCCAACCAGCCTATCTCAGGCCCACATGAGGCCTTTACCCACCGGTGCTTCTTGAAAGGGGTATTTTCTGCAGGACAGCAATAATCTCTCAACTATCCTGGGCTGTAACCCCAGCTGAGCTTCGCTTGGGTCTCAGTACTCTTCCCAGCGACTGGGGTGCTGGGGCTGTGCCAGAGCAGGAGCAGCCCCTGGCCAGTTTAGGGAAGTCCACGTTGGCAGAGTCGAGTACAACCACCACGTTGTCTTTCCCATCCAGTCCTCAGGGTTGTAATGCTATTGCATGAATCATTGGCTGTCCTTGCATACCTTGCAGGAAGACAGTCCTGGCTTGAACAACTCTGTGTGCTGTGTTATCGCAAGCTTGCAGTACAACTCAGGAGGACTGACAGCTCCAGGAGGCTGATGAAGCTGTGAAAATACGAATAAAATATTGGCAACTGGAAAATGAGTCACTTGTCATTTCTTCAAGAGGTGGGTCCCAGTTTGCCTACTTCCCTGAGCCAGGTGCCCTCCTGGCTCCAGCAGAAGTTACAGACAGCAAGTACTTCCTCATGAGGACTCTTCTGTGTGTGATATTCTGGAGCTGAGGAACAGATGTCTGTCTGACTTCCCCTCTACTGGGTCTGGCACAGCTGCTACAGGGACTGTTCTGGTAAAAGGGGTGGCAGATTTTGTGGTGGCAAGTTTCAGTTGCTCTGCTGAAAGATTTTATTTCTATGGACATAATTAACTCCATTAACAGCCGGTACCCCTGCTGCAGATTGTCTGATGGCTCAGGGCTTTGCCTGGCAGCTGTCTGCAATTTCCCTGCTCTGCATGCCACATCAGGGCCTGGACTGCAACTAAAAGACCTGAGGAGCCCCTTGGGAAGCCAAGCAAGCAGCTGCAGCTGCCCAAGGGGCTTGCAGCTGCAGGCAAACAGCACTCTTCACTACTAGTCCACACTGGTGGCTGAGCCCAGGGAGCACCTGGGGGTTATTGAGCCTGGGGGCACAGAGGTACAGGCCATGCCAGGTCCACCACTTCAGCCATGCCAGGTCCACCTGGTTCAGCCATGAACCAGGACGGACCGCCCAAGTAACAAGAACTGTGAATGTGTCTGCAGGAACGTAGAGGGGATGGTCATACCTGATAACACCATAGGGAACAGATTACCCCAGCTGCGCAGCTGGAGGAAAAACCTGCCAGAAGGCTTCGTAGTTGTAACGCTGCCCATGGGGACACACTACTCACGTGGGGACAGACAGAAGACTGCGGGCAGAAGAGCTGTGCTCCTCTTTCCATTGAGGCTGTCCTAAGAAGATGCTTTCGAACATTTCAGCTCAAACTGAGCTTCGGCCATGCACATTTCTGCCACCAGGAGGAGACGTTTCCCGCCGATTGGAGTGACACACTGGGTTATAATCAAGTGGAATTTTATTATTATATTGACCCTCAAGTACATGCTAAGGACTTAGGATTTCTCTCCAGATTTGACAGCTGCATGAAGCACTCGGAGCATATAATCAAAAGCCACAAACGAGAGAGGCTGAAGCAGGAGGTGGGAATTTAATGTCTGAAAACCGAATTAGGAATTTACAGTACGAGCACTCTTCAGCAGTTAACTGAAGATTTTGCAGTAAGTGTCTCGCAGGAAAAAAACAGGCAATATAGGTGAATTATTCCATAAGAAGATACTAGGAGTAGTATATTTCACAGTACGTCAGTAAAGTATTGTCACAATATCCAAACACTAAGTTTTCCTGGACATAAGTAGACTTTTTGTATTGCTCTTGAGCAAAGTTTCTATTTTTACCTATGAATGCCAGCTAGTCCTTTTCAGCTACACAGCAGAGTAGCTGTTTCACAAGTAGGTTTGAATTGCTTTGTTTATAGCATGGACTGTAAGATTGCCGCTCTCCCAAAAGCTACACCTTGTAAAGCTGTAAAGCTTTGTCTGCTTAACAAAACGATAGAGCAAGTTAACAGTGCTGTTTTGAGAGCGCAGGGAACTGCTCTAGCACTGAAGCTGGATCTGACTTTGAGGCTGGCTCTCCTCTGAGCAGGGCATTGGGCTTCCAGAGGTCTGTCCTGTCCTAAATTATTCAGTGGAATAAATACTTACAAAACAAATTCTTATAACTAGTTGTAACACATATTTTTTCCTGAATCAACCCTGGACTGTACTGACAGAAGCTGTTTTAGTTACAGACGTGGTATTACAGACGAGAAAAAAGAAAACTGAAATGGAATGGTAACCAGGGACAGCAAACACAGACTCAGCACTTTCTAGACCAGGTTCTATTGTTCACAGGTAGAGATTGGCTTCTGTTTCTGCTTGTGTTTTCCTGATAATGGGGTGTTGACCTGCCACGTCAATGCTTTGCTGGTTAAGGAGCATGGGCTCCTGTCCAGCTATTGCAGAGAGCAGTAGCTGGCAAGCGGGGGCCTGGCCATTGACACCGCAGTTTGCATGGAAGGGAAATCCAAGGTGGCCTGGAAATACTGCTGTTATCAAGTTGACAATGCAGTATTTTTTGTCACAGAGGTTCATGCTTATTATCTCTTAGCGTTGCAAGTTTTCACCTGCTGCTACCAGCCATACAGAACCTGTAATAACTGTTTGTGTTGTGTTTGACCTGAGTTTTGCCCTTTGGGTCATGATGGTGTGTCGATGGCATGTGGTGGTACTAAGCAGAACAGTGACTTTTCAGAGAAGAGATTTTGTCTATTTGTCTCCTGCATTTCCTACTAAGGACCAAGAAGTTAAGCATTCAGAAATAATAATTGATACTAAACCAGTAGCTCTTAAAGGAGAGACGTTCCAGGTCTGAGACTTAGTCCATGTAAACCTAATTGTGGGCTCAGTTTCTCTCCTGCCACTGATGTATACCTAAATGTGTAGTGAGAGGCTCATGGAGGATCCGGGAACATGATATGCGAGAAGGGCAAAGAACGAGGAGAGAGTCTTGGTCTCTTTAAAAATGCTCTCTGTTTCAATTATGTAATGGCTGAGTCTTTGAGGAATATCTTTAAATCAAAATGAGAAATGAATGTAGCAACATAGTGTATACTGAAGTTGGACAGTCTAGAGTGTTTTATAATTTTAAAAAAGCCCATTTTCCGCTTCATAGAGTCTTCACAATTGGTCTCAGGAAGATTATGTTCAAAGCAAAATATTTTTATTTTCCGGTTCCTATTGTGTTCACAGTGTTAATTCTCCAGCACTTAGCAAACAGAAACTGCAGGCTGTTATTCCACATGTGGGTGTTTCTGCACATTCTGCAGTTCAAAATGCACTGAGTTAGCTGCTCCATTCATAAGAGTTGCTGACCTGTTCCCTAGGTTCAGAGACAAAACATGTTAAATAAATTCATCTAACAATCCTTTGCAATAAATAAATGAAACCCTCTTTTTTTTCCCCCAGAGGAGTGATTGCTTAACTCTCAGCAAAATCCTTGTGTTCTTTGTCAGGAAGTTACTTCTGCTAATTTTTAATCGAAACAGAGCTGGAAGTAAACTGTTAAATGTTAAAAATCAGTGTGTTTGGAGGACACTTGCCTTGCATTTCACAGCATCACATTTCCCAGGGGACTTGACAAAAAGCTTCAGCTTCCTGACCTTTCTATGGTGTTACACCTTTTGCTTTCAACTCTGATATGGCTTATTTTTCATAAGTTTTGTTAGCAGAACCAGATATGTTCCAGTGGTAGCAAGAAATGCAAATGCTAAAATGCTGAACGAGCTCTGCAGTTCTGCCTGCCTGTGATAAGGGGCTCTGCTTTTTCCTTAGACTCTGATTACTGTTACTTACAGTGATTTTCAAAATGAAACTATCTTAAATGATGTCTGTAGCTTCCACCCGCCTAGAAGATGAATGTATTTCAACCGAAGCAAATGGCATTTTCCTCTGTTCTAAACCTCCGTACTGATATGTGACATGGTATGTTTTATGAGGTGTATACCTCATAATTAGTTTTCTGGCATTCGAGAGGATAGACATTTTAATACCATTTTTCACTTTCAAGCTTCTGTAGTCTCATGTATTATTTATTTTAACCTTTATCTAAAAAGACGTTTTCTATTTATCTGACTGTATAAAGAATCAAATCAAATACTGAAAGGCATACCAGCTATATTACTGGCAAAACTTGAAAGTAAGCCAGAACTTGTGTGTGTTGGCTTTCCATATCTGTTCTGAACATCATGCTTCTCAGGGGCAGCTGTAGGTAACTTTTAGTAAGTGTGCCCTTGATTTATTTCTAGTGTGGTCAGTATAACTCTCTTAAAGGCATTCTTGGCAGAGGGTAAGCTGTAAAGCTACTACAAAGCAAAAAGAAATGTAATGAAATGCTAGCTACTTACTAGTACTTCTTTCCAGCGTAGGTACGAGTAGTTGCATTTCCCCTTTGCCTTCCAGTGCAGGCAGTAGGGTGCACAAACATGACCTTCCGTGTCTCTTGAGTTGTGAAAGTTTGCAGGTCTGACGCAGGGAGCCTGGAGTGGTGAAAGCAACGTAACCAACCTTGCGCATCAGCTAACACAGCCGTGACAGGGACTGCAGGAGAGCACATATTCTGACTTCAGGCTCCCGATTATGTTATTTTGGAAGAGAAGCGAGATGCAAAGAACTCGCCGAGACAGTGGTACACTTGCTCAGCTAGCGCTGATGTCAGTGCCTTGAAAAGTACGTTATTTTGTTGCGTTTTTCTTCTGTGCTGCTTGTACCTTCTTCCAGAAGGTTTTCCTGCTCCTCTGCATTTCCATGGCTAGGGTGGCAAAGTCCCCCTTCCCTCTTCTATGCACCGTATTAGGAGACTGTGGTTGCAAAGGGGTCTGTTAGGTTCTTTATACTCGTGTGACCAAGACTTGCTGGGCAACATGCCCTTCTGCACCCAGGGGAGTGCTGTGGACAACTCCAGTTGCCCACTTCCACGCTGTAACCATTAGTGGGCAGCAGGGAATAACTTTTCTGAAGAGGTTTCCCAAATTCAGACCCACTAACGTGAGCATCGTGCACAAAACCAAACCTCATGCTCTTGGGATATACTTTCAAACTGGGAACCAGCAGGATTTCCTCCTTGACATGCTTGAACAATAGTTTTGGGTTTTGTTTTCTCAGAATTGGAAGAGTTGCTGCTCTGCACAGGCTTCTCTAATAGCGTAAGGAGGGGAACCTGCGCTGCCGGGAGAGGGGCACACACCAGTGTAGCCCACAGTCCTGTGAGCTGTTAGGTGTTTACTGAGTGTCTCGTATTGCAGGCTGTCTGTTGTGTTGCTGATCCCGAATGTAAGCATCACTGATGGCTGGCTAATTATGTGTCATTAATAAATCAACAAATCACTTTGATCCTCATTTGGTTTAAATTATGCGGGCTGAGCAGTTTTTCCCTGCAACATAATTTTGGCAGAGAATGCAGGCAATCTGTTGAACTAACTTGAGCTCAGTAAGAGGTCAGGTAATAACCTTATGCACTTTCTGTCTTCTTGATCAGCAGTTTGGGAGAAAAGACTTTATACTGTTTTTAAGGACATCCTGTGCTTTAGCAGAATGGCACTGTGGAAGACGGCAATGAGAAGAGGCAAAAGGGAAGAAGGAAGACATCCCTGACTCCTAAAATGACTCCGTAGTACCTGTCTGGTCCAGACTGGGAAGGATTGGCTAAAGTAAGTGTAAAAATTCACAATCACATTCACTGGGACACAGACCAGATAGAATCAATATAGTATGATGGGGGAAAGTTGTGTGATGAAACGCTTAAAGCAAGGGATAATAAAGGGAAACTGGTTGATCAGTGTAGGTGTTTGTGTTGGCTATTACTGACTGCACTTAGAGAAGTTAGTGAGATATATAAAACAGGTGGGTGAGATTCAGAAGAAAAGGAGAGTAAAGATGACTATAAACGAAGGATAACATGTTTGCAACAGGTTCCTGAGAGTGCTGAAGCTACGACTGCTCAGCAGGCTCACAAGTTAGGGCTGCACAAGAAGCTGAGCACTTTCAGAAGGAAAAGGACGAAAGGAAATGAAAACCTTACTTCCAGTTGTGAGTGAGGACTGGGACCCAGAAACACGTGATGGAGATATCTAAGAACCAAATGAAGATGGAGATGAGGAGCGCAATATAGTGCCCGGTCAGACCCAAGCAATACCAGTTGATCTGAAAGGTCCATCTGAGGCGTGTACTTGAAGAGACTCATATGCCCCCCTCCTTGCCAAGCTAAAAGGCATTTAAATAAACCTTTCTAGGGCAAAAGATGAAGTGGGGTTTTGGTTTTGCAGGAATGAGGGAGAAATTGAGAGCATCACCTTCTGAGTGACAGTGTTTAGGGTCCATATAGGGGAAAATATATTGCTGAATCACCCTATGAATGGTAGAAAGCAGCTATCTTTGGATATCTGAATCCAAAACACAGAGAATGGTCACCTTTGCTGCCATCTCAGGTAGCAAAAATGGAACTGTTGGAGTTAGATTACTTTCATGGGAAATAGGGGTGGTCTGGAGAAGCAGGCAAAAGGAAAATGTGTTTAGCGAAATCCAGTCTCAAAATACTGTTTATTTACACTTAGGAGGTATGCAAGCCATAAACCCAGAACTTGGATTGGAAGAAAAAACTTGGAATGCCACCACAACTCAGGTTTTGCTTTAGCAGGAGCAATAAGCTGTTCCTTACAGAACTTAATATTTTATATTATACAACAACAATTGGATATGGAAATGCAAGCGTCGTCTGTCTCAAGTACAGATGCAGTGGTGGCAGGAGGCATTGGACTGACTGACTACCTGTAAAGACAAACCATCCTCCTCTGCTAAGGCTATACAACAAGATAGTGGTGGGCTGTAGTAGACTAGAAGATCAGGGTTAACATGATGAGCCTAGAAAATAAAATGTGCAGGAAGAACACAGTTATGCTTCTAACAGTGTTGGTTAAAACTGTAGTTTTCACAGATTATCTGGCCCGCGATGTCCTTAAGTCCGCAACAGTGCAGTGTCACGCCCAACAGATTTGTTACACAAAACACTGCAGTAATCAGTTTAAGCAATTATGAGATACATGGGGATAGAAAGTGCCAGTGTCCACAAACACTATGAGAAGTGTGTGACCCCTTTAGATAAACATCGGGACTTTCTGTTGGTTCAGATGTCACCAGCTGAAGTGATGGAGGGGTAGAAAAGCCACTCCCATCTAGGAAGCCAGTGCTTCATGAGCCTTTCCTATATGATTATCCCTCATTTTCCACATATCAATGTTCTTGTTTAAAAACACAACAGAAGAAAAACCCTATATCTCTCCTTTCCCCCTGGCTATTCAAAGCCCTATCTGCCTTTCAAATGTTTCATCTTTAGAAGTCACAGATGATTCTAAACTTTCCTTTTCTACTTCAAAGGAAATTTCATGTCATTTCTCTTTTTCAATGCCGTGTGTAGGGAGAGAAATTTTGAAAATAGACATCAACAGTGCAGCAGGTCCAGCTCAAGTCACAGAGGTTTTTGCCTATTACTGACAAATGTTCCTAACTATTAGTAGGAGTTCCACGATGATGAAGCCTATTATCTTCTGCATAGTAAAGGTGTTCAGGACCTATTCCCTTTAAAAAAGTACTGCCTGGAAGCTTGTCAAAACAATGTCTTAGTTCAAGTCACGGTTAGGATAACTCCTTAATTGCATTAGCTTTTCAAGATATGCTTGCTGTTATCGCAAAGAGCAATGCGTAGATTTCTGTTATGCTTCTGGACTGAACAAACAAAACGTATGCTAGAAATGATAAATGGAGCTGGAAAAACATTCTTGCTTCTGAGATGGAAAGTTTCATTGAACGCTAATACTGTTCCCAGTCAATACTGTCTGTTGTGTGCAGTGTAGTTTGAAAGCTCTCACTGCAAGCAGTTTTTGCTTTGAGAAAGGATCACCTAATTACCGAGTGATTAAAACAGTCCATGTCTAAGCAAAGGAATTGCTTATAGACCAACTGAGCACATGCCTATTGGGATGCATGATAATGGCAGTGAAGTCAAATCCTATACAGTACATCTATGTTTTCTTAGATTCTTACATTTATACACTTACACTCCTTAACTGTGGAAGAAATTCTTTTAAACTTACAGAATCTCAAGCGTGGTGCTTCAGGTGTGCATTCGAGATTGTGCATGTCCAAAAAAACATTGGCTTTGTCCTCAGACTTAGAATTAGTCTGTAAATTTGAGGATTTTGAGAGACTGTGAGCTTGATTTCCATGATGCTCTAGAAAGGATGAGGGTTTTGGCTCAGAATTGTGCTGCACTCTGATGTTATTTTTAGGTGAGCTTTTGGCTGGATCTAGACTATGGATTTCATAAGACTAAAGTCTCAGAATTTTGATAATTTCAAGTGAATGCCTCCCCATTTCTAGAACATCTGGTTTTGTACAATACACACATCTTGAAGGAAGTGGAAAGAGTATTTATTTGGACAGAACAAGAGTAGAATATGATATGATGCTTCAAGTAACTGCTGAGATTTTTTGAGTAAGCTGGGCAATGTTTTCTGAATTTCCATTCATGTTTTTCTTCCTAAGTCCTCTCTATGTACATTCTTCGCAGATGACACAGTGCCTTTGAAATTATTTCCATGAAGAATTTAACTAGAATTTTTTCCAGTAAATCAGTCTGTAGATTTGTTATCTATTTGTTCTTGTCTTTTTGAGACGTGTATATTTGAGAAGTGAAAATAGTATAAAGAAAACTCAACATGCTTCTAAAATTATTATTATTAAAAGCTAATTCTTCTTCTAAGTGCTACTATTAAAGACTAGAAGTTTGTCAGGTCTCAATAGTCGGCAAAAAAAGGTGCAAGAGAAATGATTCTCTCTGAAGTCCTCAGTGGGATTTGCAGCCGTTTCATAATTGTGTAGTAATGACCAAACAGCTATCTCATTTTCAGTTCACTCAGATGCTATAACTTTATCCAGTGCTTCTCAAACAAAATACGTTGCAATCTATACCTTAATTTTCTTTCTTGTAAACTGTCCGTGGTGTGGGTGTGGAGAAAAATGAGGAGCAAGGGGGAAGAGAAAAGCAAACAATGTTCTAAAAAACATTATCACCCTTATGTTTTGTTGTCTTTTTCTGTAAGTTTAATTCTCATAAGGTTTTAAGTTTTCCTGTTGTTTCTGGGGACTCTTTCAACTGATGGCTACTTGCTTGTTGTAATAGATCACAGTCACTACTGGTCCACCTGAAGCAGATTAAAAATTATTAGATAGGTCACTAAAGTTTAACTTCAGAGAAATAGTTAAATAACCTTCCAATTTTATTAAGCTTCCAATTAAATAACCTTCCAATTTTTACTTGTATATAAAGCATTTATATTGAAGTAATATTCAAGGTTTGATGTCCAGCCATTACACAGTGCCAGTATTGCATCTGTTGCACTTTTGGTTTTTCTGAATGCCTGGTGCATTTTGTTCAGCCAAAGTTTTGACTCTCCCTTAGGCAGCAACTAACTGTGCAGCACTAAGCACAGCAGGGTTAAGAGTAAAAAGAATAAGGTGATGGGCGGTATTCTGGAGTTAGGTCTTTCCTCAATGAACATGTTTCTGTAGCTTAATGTAGCTCTTATTAACACATTTTTCCCCCTAATTTGTCCCCATTCTCCATGAGTGCTGTTCCAAAATTACCATCGTATTAGAATTGCTCACCAGTAGCATGGATAAGCAGTGGCATGCCTATTACCATACAGTTAGTGTATACTGTATATATAGCGTATCGCCATGTAGTTAGTGTAGTCAAAGAACTGAGCTAGTCCTTGCGAGATACAGAGACTTGGATGCAGTGTATGTGAGCAGCTGTCAGGGGCTGATGGCCCATATCCAAAAACTGAGGAAGACAAATCATCTTTGCCAAATAGATTGTTCCTGTGAATTTATTGAAACAATGTCTCTGTAAGTATGAGATGAACCAAAGCAATTAGCATTTGCTTTTAATAAACATATCACAGCCACAGAAGTAACAGGGATTTCTATAATGCCAGGAAGATTGAACACAATACGAAACAAAAATATATAGTACCATGTTAATGGAGTTGGTTGATTCTAAAACTCCTAGATTAAAAAAAAAAGTGTCTTAAAATAACTAGGAGAAACAGTTTCTTGTTTTCTTTCTCCATATTGAATAAATGTTGACTGTATTTCAGGAACTGCAATGTTATGCTTCCCTAGTATTTACTTTTCCTTTGGAAAATATCACACGAGGGAGGGAAGCCTTGATCCTTCTGTAAACAATGTGTAAAAGGCACCAATTTAGATTTATTAGAGACACCTGCATGGTGAAACCACGCAGAGCTAGCTATCAGTCTCTGGAAGATAAATCTTGAATGCCTAACATGATACTCAGTTAAGTGGAACATCTTAAACTGATATGCACTTAGAATTGTAACAAAATCCTGTCTCAGTTATTTAAGACACCTTTAAAAGCATTTTAAATAGCCAGTCTGTAACAATTGCTTTTCCTCTTCAGTTTCAAGCTCAGATGGAGAGTACAAAAGGTGCTGCCCCATGTGGACTATTTTAGCATTTCTGGAATAATAGCAATTCAATTTTGTTACAGTAATAACCAAGGTCAGGTGAACTCAACAGGAGCAAATTAAACTTGAAATACATGTCCTGTAGAATATAAAACCAGAAAGCA